TAGGGAAAGAAGGGATCCCGGGTTCAAGTTTACGTCTACTGTGTCCCAACTGTAGGGTTTCTTGAGGTTTCAGCTTCCTCTTCTGTAAAATGGACTAATGATACTTCCTCACAGGGTCGTTGAGATGATGAAATGGACTAAGTAAGCTACAGGAAGGCAAATCAAACTGTGATGAAGTGGAAACTTCATCAGACTTGTTCTGGGTCTTGTTTTCTGAAAGGAAGACGTCAGAGCTTTGGAGCAGCTCGTCTGTAGACTCAAGGGCAGAGAAGCCACACAAAAAGAGTCAGACCAAAGGACCAAAAAGCCAGCAAGGCAAACCAGTAGTAACTTCATGGAAAACCTCAGATGGTTCAAGCTTCTCAGGAGTTCTTTATTGGACAGTGACCGGGATGTATCCCCTAGGCGGGAAAAGCCACAGGGAAGATTCGCAAAACCATTCTGCTCCCTCTCTTAGAGCAGGGGTGGGGAACATCTACCCCTGTGGGCTTCCAAGGAGCGGCTGGTGAGTTTGAACTGCAGACCTAGTGGTTCAAACTGACTTTGTGATCCAGTGTTTATGCTACTGCGCCACACCAGGACTCCATCACATTAGAGAAGAGCTAATTAAATGTTTGACCAACTCTAGCAGGCTAATTTTTATGTTGATAATTTTGTAGGACCCACGAATGATGTTACACATTTTGGCAAAAAAAAGTTTCCCCATCCCTGTCCTAGAGGGAACATATCAAGAAGAACTTCTGATTCTGTGCCCAGGAGATGTGGCAGGTTTCCAGAACACTGGTGCTCTCCACATAGGTGAGGCAGTACCTGTGTTGGTAGGAACACTGAGAGTGTGCCAGGTGGGGGCCACCTTTCTGGAAAGCTGGGATAGAAAGCATCTTCTCAGTTCCAGTGACTATACTTTTGGAAAGCTATTCTAAGGAAATAGTTAGAAGTTCAGAGATAGTTAGTTATGAGGATAGTTAGTTATCTTAGCTTTAAGTATGAAAGTGAAAAAGTGAAAGTAACCTTAGGGAATAATGTGTACTGATGAAAAATGTGGTTTATAAATAGCATTTTGGTGTGCTATTAGCTGAAATAAGAGGAATACAAAATGACTTGAGTAATATAATTACAGTGATATAATAAAATATGATGTGATATGATAAAATAAAAGCATTAAAAAATGCTTTTTTTTCAAGCATTTTTGAAATGCTTGAAAAGCATTTCAAAAGCAATTTTGAGGTTCAAAATGCTTTTTTCAAGCATTTTGAAAAGCAATTTTGAGGTTCAAGGCAAGATGGCAGAGCAGCAGACACACTGAGTCAACCCTCTGAAATGAAGACATGGGAGACTGAGTGAAACAGATACAGATGGGGATCCTGGAACCCTGAGCCTCAGAGGACAGGACAGAGAGGTGGACTAAATGCCGACTGGAAGAGGAGCAACGAGAGAGAAGAAAAACGGATGGACTATGGGCTGGTGTGGAGTCGTGGGGCCATCTTGAATTCTTGTGAACACTTGTTAGTACTGTGGCTTGTGGCCCCAGGATGTGGCTGGGGTGCAGTTCTCCCTTGTTCCTGTGCTCTCCTGGTAGATGGGGGCACAGCCAGTCTCCACCCCTGCTATCCTCGCCTTTGACACCCCTTCCTACACAGCCTCTGCTCTACCTGGCATAGCGCCCTGAACTATGCTAACCAAACAGTGAACAGAGAACTAATGGCATTCACACTTCTAGTCTCTACCACATCCACCAGGAGACAGGTGGTGAGTAGCCAAGAACACACCAATATACAATCATCAGTTAAATATAAATGCGACACCATAATGTCTTGGGGAAAGCAGACAATTTCAGTTTACACAAAGAAACAAGACAGAGTGCCTCAACTAGGTGACCAAAATAGAGAGTCAGAAAAAACAACATCAGAAATGGTATTGGAACTACCCGATAAGGAATGCTAATTAGGCAACCTCAACAGACTGAATGATCAAGAGAACTACAGATGAAATCAAGGAAAACAAAGACAAAACTATGGAAAAAATTGGGGGATCAAATTGACAAAACAATTGAAAATATGGGAACCATACAAAATCAGTTATTAGAAAGCCAGGAGCTTTATACTAAGACTTCAGAAATAGATCATACACTGAGAGGGTAAAGAAATAAAATGGAATAAACGGAAAGCTGAATTCTTGAGCTTGAAGAAAAACCTCTCAATAATCATCTGCTAAAAGAGCAATCAGAAAAAAAATAACAAAAAAATCCAAAGAATCCTAGGATTTATGTAGGACATTATCGAGGAGTAACTTACATGTGATAGGAATTCCAGAACAGGAAGACAGAAAACCAAACAAACAAAAAAAAAAACGTAGAGAAACTTCCCTAACATCATGAAAGACAAGAAGACAGCCATCAAGAAGTTGAACGACCTCCAAACAGTATATAGAGCGCAACAGAAATACATCACGACATTGTATCAAAGTTTTCACAACCAATGACAAGGAAAGAAAATCCAGAGCTGTCCCCACAACCTGATCTTGGGGGTCCTCAGATCCTAAGTACATACATCCATATTTGTTCATATATACAATTGTGCACATATATGAACACATACTCTTTTCCTAATGATCTTCAGATTAAGATCTCAGAGTTAGAGGAGCTTCTGGAAAAAGTGTGTGTGTGTAGCTGACAGATAAGGGGAGAACTTGGGAAACTTGTGGGAACTTCCTCACCACTGCAGACGTGTGCACTTTTCCCCCCAAGTTGTGAAGAATCCATGCAGCTTTGGGAGTCTACTGTGTGTGCTTCAGGAATGCTTCCAAGGGAGGGGAGAAAAGAGGGGCCTGGCGCCTGCATCCACTTACTCATAGGGAATCTTCTTGAAGACAAGGTGGTCCAGCAAGGTCAGCTGCTCTGCAATCTCCAGGGCTGAGTGGTTTTCAAAGGGCTCGGCTTTCAGACCTTCAGCCTGAGAGGAAAAGGATCTCAAGTTAGGTCCATGAGGAGACAGCCGCCGCTTTTAGTCAGTCACTCCTCTGCGGGAATCGCCGATAGGACTCTGGTAGCTGTGTGGACAAGACTAACTGGGAAAGTCTTCCTGGTGTACTAAAGATTGGGGAGATGAAGGAATGGGAACAAAAAGAACCAGGAGCCACTGTTTGTGGAGGAGCATGTGTTACTTCATGAGGACTGTCCCATTCAGTCCACGTGTGCTCTGCACGCCAGCTTTCATCACCCCCGGTATATGACAGAGAGAAGCCAACCAAGTCCCTCAACTGGAAAGGGGCTGACTGGGACCCTGATGCCCAGCTATGGCTTTACCTTCCTGTCAAGTGTTGTCTGGGCCCATGACTGGATAATTTTTTTATTTTAAAATCCATCTGCAGGTGTGACTCACAGATGTCCCAGTTCTGTGCTCAGAGAACGCTTTCTGGCTTTGTCCCAAGGTTACCATGTCTCCGACTCATGGCCACCCCCTCTATGGGAGTTCACCAACTGGGCCCCTCACCCAGGGGATATCCTTAGGGAAACAGCGCCTCCATAGCAGACATCCCATTAGCTTCTGCCTCTCATGACGCCTGCTGTCTTATGACTTCTCAAGCATTCCTTCCACTGGTCCAGAAATCCCACAGCTCAGCTGAGTGCCTGAGAACACTTCTCCACCGATCACAAAGGAGTGGGGTCTAGACCATTCCAGAGGAGAAGCCTTCCTTTCTAGATTCCGTTCCACATTCCCAGCAAACATTCATTGTCTAGCTGGAGACATAAAGACTGGTAAACAGAGTCCCTGGTTTCAGGGAGTCCAGGCTAAGGGGTTCCCAGCCATGTGAGCTGAGAAGCAACAGAAACCAGTCTGTGTGTGTGTGTCAGGAAAGTATTCCTGATGGAGAACAACGTGTATAGAAGACCAGATGCACTGGTGAGCGTGGGAGTGGGGCCACCAAGCCTGTGGGGAGAATGACTTGTTTGGGTGTGGGGGACATATGCCTCAGAGAATGATGAGTTCTCAGGAGGACTGAGGAGACATGAGGCAAGAGCCACAGAGCCATCTGTACCTTGGAGACGGGGCTCCCATGTGTGCATAGTGAAGGAACCCCAGTCTCAGAAGCAGTTGGATGCAGGCAGGAGGGTGTTATTGTTGCTTGGGACCATGGAGTTCTGACTCAGCCACAGCGGAGTGAAACACTGCCTGATCCTGCGCCATTCTCACAAATGTTACTATATTTGAGCTCTTTGTTGTACCCACTGTGTTAATCCACAGTCCTCCTTTTCAATGACCCGTACACTATTTTTACCAAGCATTATGTCCATCGGTTAGCTCAGCTATAGTTTTTACTGAGTCCCACACAGGTGTCTGGGGGCTGAGTCCAGGATGGCTGAACTGTCAGGGCCAAGGAGCTGGGGAGAGGCCAGAGGTCAGGGTGGGACATGTCCCCAGGGCATCTTTTGGACAGGCCTGCTTTAGCTGGCTGGCCAGGAGACTGCATGCTGGGAAGGAGGAGGTGGTAGTCCCTTCTGCTCCTTTGTTGGTGTGGGCTAGGAAGAGGGGGGCTTGGAAGCAAGTATGGAAGCCACAACTTGCTTCACCTTTCATCGGGTTTGCCAAAGACCTCACAGCAAAAGCCATCAGGGGCCCCTCCCACTGAATCTGCCCCCCACAGGCCCACTGTGACTTTGGTTAGGGCCAGGGGCAGCTCAGCGGGGCTTTGTTCTGGGAAAGGTCTACAGGCTGCTTAAGAAGGAACAAGAGGCTCTGGAGGGGTCAACAACCTGCCAGGCCCTGATTGGTAAACAGGCCAGAGCTGAGTCAGAGGTGTAGGGCACGTGCTACTTAAAGGGGACACCAATGAATGGTTTCTATTCGCCATTACAGTTTACTTCGCCAGCAGTGAGAGGTCATCCTGCAAGTTAAAGCTAATTACCACAGGTGCTGTTTTCCATAGATGTGCTCAGCGCCTGTTTGCTCTTCAGAGCAAAGCCAGGGGCAGAGCTCTTCTCTCTCAGCCTTAATGCAGCATCCTGGTGTTGGTCCCCAGGGTGGCGAGACACCAGCAGTCTGGGCCACAGAGTGGAAATGCAGGGAGTCAGGGAGGGCCAGGGAAGGGTGGGCCCGACTTACCGTCTGTGTGACCTCCTCCAGCGTGATCTGGTTGTCGCCTGGGTCCTCCTGGGTCAGAGTCCTAGGGGTAAGGACTTGAACTGTACCACTCTGCAGCCCCCTGCTCCAGCCAGGCTGAACACTGTATCAGTCTCCCCAGCACCCAGAGCTCGCGGGCCTCTTTATCTTTGCTCACAGCTTTTCCTCTGCCCCTTTGGTCGTCATCAACTTCTTCCAGATGGACCACCCTTCAGGATCAGCTCACTGATGTTCCTGGCTTGGTTAAGGCTCCTGCCTGGGGCTCCCTCAGCTCCCCCCGCACCTCCCTGGCCTCCTGCCATCTCAGCCTTGGGCCAACTGTGTATGCATCTGGGCCGTGGTCAACCTGGGCAGGGGAGCCTCTCCTACCTGATGATGTTGGCTGCAGCTTTCCGCTCCTGCGTTAGCAGCTCCGGGTCATGCATGACCTCCTCTAGGAAGCTGATCACCTTGCACTTGAGCTCAGCGTTGGTTTCAAAGTCCTGAGGGAAGGTGGACTTGGTGGCTCTGGCTATTGTTTTAAAGCTGCCCCGCCCTATGTTCCCTTTTGCTGGTTCTGTGGCAGAGCACAGTGAAGCCCAGGGGCTCTTAGGCCTAAAGCACTAGGGACAGACCAAGGACCAGCCCTCGGCTGCACCTCTCAGCCAGGACCCTAGGAGGCATAGTCCTACATTGTAGCCTGCAGTAGACAGAGGTGGACAGAAGTCCCTTGTCCCCTGGTGATCTAGTCAGGCCCCTCCCTGCTTACACCCCACTGATGGCTCATTCTGCCAGTGTCCAGTGGTCCTTGGTGTACCCACTTGGGGAGGGTCCCACTCACCTGTGAGTGCTTGGAGACCCAGTGGCGGAGCACATTCAAGACGCGGTTGGTGGCCGCTCTGCGGATCACAAACTCCTTGTCTCCGTTCCTCTGGTCCGGGGGAAACCCTGACAGTATGCACCGGGGAGGGAGAGGGGACATGAGGAAGCCAAACCCCACTTGGCTCTTCTCTGCATACAATTTCCAGATTGGGTAACCTCTCTGGGGAGATGGCGGTGGGCAGGGAGACATCAAATATCTAATGCCGGCCACTAAAACGTCTCAGTGGACAAGCCCACAAAGACCTGCCTCCACCAGGCCTCCCATTGGCTCAGGGGCTGCTGGAGGATTGTGGCAGCCTCTTCAGACAGGGCCCAGCAGCCCTCCCCAGAGACCAGCCCTTCCTGAAGTGGAAGTGATAGTGGTTTCTAAGGGCAAGGGTTTTGAAGCATGAGTAGAAGTTTGCCAAGTAGGAAAGGGAGGTAGGTGGGAAGGAAGGAGCCTCAGGCAGCTGGAGCAGCAGTGGAAAGGCTGGGCATGGGGCCCTGTAATTGGTTTGAAGAGGCTGGAGGCTAGACTAGGTTTGGGTAAGGTGTGGCTGGAGACAAGGCTTCCTTCCCCAGGCATGCCAGGTCTACCTGGCCCTAGAAGCTGAGAGTGAGGGCAGGGCAGGGGTGCTGGGGCAATCATACACTAGACGCAGTGGCAGGGAGATGGGGGCTGTGGCTCAGGACCTCAATAAGTGGAAGAGAGCTGCTAAAGTTCACAGTAACAACATAGGAAGCTTGGCCTCAGTTAGCGAGAGCAGTTAGCTCTCTAAGCATGTGTCCCACCACTGTAGGGAGATGAGCTTCTGGGGTCGTGGCTGTGTCCCTGCCAGTGATGACTCCCCAGGCACAGACCTCACAGAATGATCCCAACCCACGGCATACCTGCACTCGCTAAGGACATCCTCCGGTACTTCTCTTTGTTTGGGGTGCCCTCATTGGCTCCTGCTGTTGCTATGGCAAAGGCGGAAGTGGCAGATAGGGCGCTTCGGTTACTGTCCAGTTCTCGACAGGAAGTCATGACAACTCCATTATTATAGGAAAAGAGCGGGAACTCTGTGGAGAGGATGCAGCCAACTTTCAGCCTTTCCTGATGCCAGCATATTGTGGGTTCATCGGCATGGTATGATGGAAAGAGCACTGCAACTGGAGTCCGTTCATCTGTGATGACATTCTAATCCCTGCCACCTCACTAGCTGTGTGTTCTTGGGTAAATTACTTAACCTCTCTGAGCTTCAGTGATCTCTGGATAATGGGGATATTAGTCTCTATTTCAAAAGGTCGTAAAGGTTAAAGGGAGTAACATAGATGGAAATAGTTTGAATTGGGTGAAAAGTTACATAAATACCATAGAATATTATATTCCATTGATAAGAACAATATTCTTATTAATGGAGAAAAGATTGAAGTTGTCAAGGACTTCATTCTTCTGGGATCAACCATCAACACTCATGGAAGCAGCAGTGAAGAAATCAAACAACGTATTGCATGAGGCAAATCTGCTGCACAAGACCTTTTTAAAGTGTTGAAGAGCAAAGATGTCAGCTTGAGGACTAAGGTGTGCCTGACCCAAGCCATGGTATTTTCAATAACCTCATATGCATGTGAAAGCTGGACAGTGAATAAGGAAGACCGTAGAAGAATTGATGCCTTTGAGTTATGGTGTTGGAGGAGAATATTGAAAGTGCCATGAGCTTGCCAAAAGAACCAATAGATCTGTTTTGGAAGAAGTGCAGCCAGAGTGCTCCTTGGAGGCCAAGATGGCCAAACTTTGTCTCATACTTCAGACATATTGTCAGGAGGGACCAGTCACTGGAGAAGGAAATCATGTTTGGTAAGGTGGAGCGTCAGACCCTCCGTGAGATGGATTGGCCAAGTGGCAACATCAATGGGCTCAAGCATGGCAACCATTGTGAAGTTGGCCCAGGACTGGGCAGTGTTTCATTCTGTTGTGCATAGGGTCGTTATGAGTTGGTACCAACTTGATGGCACCTAACAACAACAACAACAACTACTATTACTGCTATTATTAATAATTATTTTATAGTGATAACAGTAGTAGAATCTGACAATAGAAAGCTTTAGATTCGTCTTGTAAATCTCAGGAAAGCAAAGCATTCTCTGTTAGACCAAAGCAGTAGTACTTATATTGTTAGGAGCAAATGGTTCATTCTTTGATTCAAGAAATTATTTTTAAGCTAAATTAAAAATTTTAATGGTTTATTTTGAAAACCTATAATTGATTGCTGAAATCTGGATATTCATGGGATCTGCTTTTGTGTGGCTAAGGAGCCGTGTGGCACAGCTGTGTTGTGTTGTTGTTTAGTGCTGTTAAGTCGGTTCTAACTCATAGTGACCAGATATAGGGTTTCCAGGAAGGAACTGGTGAGTTTGAACCGCCGACCTTGCGGCTCAGACCGACCTTGCAGTCCAGTGTGTTATCCTGCAGCACAGAGCTGTAATTCCCCCTAAAGCTAGGTGGGCCTGCTAGCTGTTGGGTTTCTTCCGAAGGCCTGGATACTTTGGAAGTTTGGGATTCAGGTAGTGCCATGCCTTTGGACGTGGGAGCAGGGATTCTGGGAAGGCAGCTGTGGGGCAGAAGGAGCTGCTTGGGGAGGGGAGGCTGGGTGAGCTCTCTCTCCAGACCCTCTCCTCTAGCCCGTGTGTGGTGAGGTGCTTTGTGGGTACTGGAAATCAAGATGGTTCCTAAGGACCTTTCAGGATCAGGAATCTGAGACATTGGGTGGTCAACGTCACAACGTCACTGTCTTTTTTCTTATTTGAATAATGGGATCCTGCGGCCACTCTGCAAGGTTGAACGGACCCGGCACAGAATCTGATATGAAGTCAGAGTTTCAGCAGCACCTTAGCAGTCTGGATCTTCTGCCCAGTGGATTAGAGACAGTCTTGCCTGAAGATGGGGAATGACTAGGATGGGGCCTGGGGTATCAGAGTAATTGTTCTTAGCGCCCGCAAAGCCTAAGGGATGATAGCTGCTCAGTAGCCTTGCCTGTATTTGACCTGCTCCCAACCTTGATCCTACACGTCCTCTAGGAATTGATTCATCTTTTCGGGTTGGTGAATTGTACCTGAGGAATTTTTGCTTTTGACAGATTTTGGTGTCGTTGGGGATTTCGTTGGTGACGCCTCAGTATCACCATCATCACTCTGGTTTTGATCAATATCTGACTCTTCCCTCATGGAGACCTCGGAGCCTGGGTGAAAAAAGGAAACAGTTTTACTTCGCTCGACCACTCACTGGTCTAGAGATTTCTGTCTATAATTCATTGAAACAAACCAGATTCAGTTTGAGATACGTCTGCTGAACAAAGTTTAATAGTATTGTTTGTCTCAACTGTTAATGTGCACCGTAAATTGCCAAGAGAGGTTTTGTTCTACAAAACACCTAAAAAAACCCAAACCTAAAAAAACCCAAACAAACCCTTAGCTTGTGAGTGGATTCTGACTTACAGTGACCCTACAGAACTATCAACACTCATGGAAGCAGCAGTCAAGAAATCAGATGACATGTTGCATTAGGCAAATCTGTTGCACAAGACCTTTTTAAAGTGTTGAAGAGCAAAGATGTCAGCT